ATCCCCTTACTTAATTAAATTATTACTACGTAGAACGTTACCTTTAATAAGGATCTTTTCTATAAAGAGAAAGATCTAGAGTAGCTTTAATAGTTAGAGGCTTAAAAGATAGTTAACGTTATTAGTAAAGATAAGATCTATAATATAGGAGAAGCATATAAAGAGCTTAATATCTTTAATTAGCTTTATATTACGGCAGAGCAATATAAGGAGTCTAGTAAGCAAGAAGGACTAAACCTAGCGTAGGAGCTAGGGGGTAGGGTAGAGCTAGAGGAGGTAGATAATTAGGCTAGCTAGCCTAGTAATTCATAACCCCCTAAGCAGACACCTCTAGCGTAGGTACTAAGCATAGCTAGCTTAGCACAAAGGATCTATATAAAGTCCCCTAAGCTAATAGGGCTCTAAACTCCTAAACTAATACTAGAACTAAACTTTAGTATAGGAGATAAAGGATCTGTATAGGTTATAGATTAGGGTCTTACTACCTAAGATAGTAGTAATCTAACTTACTTTAACGCTATAATAGGTAGCTCCTAGGAAAGACCTAGAGGGGAGAGTGCTATTAGTAGGTTATTCTATAAGAGCACAGAGATAGGTAAGGGCACCCTATCTAGCTCTTATAGGGGTAGTAAGCAGAGCTCCTACCTACCTACTTTAGGACTAGATTCTGTATCTCCTACAGATCCCTTACAAGCGGCACCTAGAGCTCCTAGAAGAAGTAGAAAACTGCAAGTTAAAGGACTGCCACTAACGCGTGTTAGTAAGCAAGCTTAGGGATAGGACCCTAATAAACCACTAGGAGGCTCTATAAGTATAGGGATATATATAGTAATAGATCTATTAGATATAGATCTAATTAGAAATCCCTTATATAATCTTTTAGTATATCCTAAACTAAATACTATAATCTACGCTATAATTATAGCAGCAATAGGGAGTAAATCCCCTAAAAACCCTAAAAGAAATACGCACTAGGACGCTCTACAAAAAGAGCTAAAATAATAGAAGGATCTCTATAACTACTAAATAGGACAGCAATTTAGAGACGTAGTATATAAAGAAATTAATACTCTACTAAAAGCTAGTACCTAGAAGGAGATTAATAGGCTAACTAAAGGAGAGTGTCTACTCCTACTTAAATAGGTGTTTACATATAAGCTTAATTAGGATAGTTACCTAATTAAGTGTAAAGTAAGGATAGTAGTAAGAGGAGATCTATAGCTTACTAACTTAATTTATTTAACCTACGCAGCTACCCTAGTAGCTTAAACCTTTAGGACTATAATAGCTATTAGAGCTAAGTTTAACCTTAAGATATATTAATATAACGTTGTTAGAGCTTTCCTTAATACCTTAAGGGATTAACACCCTATAGTTATCTATAAGCTACCTAAAGGATATTAAATACCTAGGAAGTGCGTTAAGCTTAAATAAGCTCTATATAGACTAAAAGACTTACTATTATTATAGTATAATAAGCTCTTAACTATACTCTAAGAAAATAAGCTTATTGCTTCTAAAGAGGAACTATGCCTGTTCTTTAATAGAGATTGTAGTATCTTGTTAATATTCTATATAGATAATATCCTATTACTCTATTACTAAAACTACGCAAGCTAAGCTTACAAAGTTATCTAAGCTCTAAAGCAAAGATATACTATAGAAGAAAAGGGACCTGTAAGCTAGTTTCTAGGGGTAAGAGTAATCTAGAATAGAAAGAGATAGATAATAACGCTTATTTATAATAAATACATTAACAAGATTATAAAGAAATTTAATCTAGTAGAGATAGGAAAATTCCCTACTATACTACTATTAAGTAAAGATATTAAAAAGAGCATAGGAGAAGCTACTAAAAAAGAGATTAAGGACTATTAGGAGCGCGTTAGATTAATCCTTTACACCTTAATTATAGTGCGCCCTAATATTGCCTATGTAGCCTCCTAGCTCTCCTAATACCTTACTAACCTATCTAAATAACACTTTAATATAGTTAATTAAGTGATTATCTATCTATACTAAACTTAATACTAATTAATCTAATATAGGAATAGGGATCCTAATAAGCTTATAATATATAGTAATATATTATTTGCTAATAATATTAATACTTAGCAATTATTACATAGATACCTTATTACGCTCTTTAGAGGACCTATTATTTAGAAGGCAGCTTAATAAGCAACTATTACTACTTTAACTACTAAGGTAGAGCTCCTTGCGCTTAAATAAGTAAGCAAAGAAGCAATAGCATTAAAACGCTTTTTAACTAAAATACACCTTACTTTAGATACTACCTAGATAATTAATTATAATAATTAATAAACTATTAGGTTAGTAGTAGGTAATAATAAAAGGATTACTACTAAGCTACGCTATATAGATATTTAAAATATATAGCTTAGATAAGAGTATAAAAAGGGATCTTTCTATATTACCTACCTACCTACTAGTAATATACTAGCTAATAGGCTTACTAAAAACCTAACTATATAATAATTTATAAGGTTTAGGGAGCACCTAAAGTTATATAATAGTAGAGTATAGATTATATAGTATTAATTAAAGTAAGGTAGTATATAAGATCTATTAATATATAATATAAGAATAACTAACTATAGCCTACCTCTCTATTATTAACTAGGTAGCTTCCCTAAGGAGCTCTATTACGCGCGCAAAGCGTGCCTTAGAGTCTATAAGGAGCTACCTAGGTTACCCTATCCTAGGATCTATAGGGGGAACCTTAGAGGAGCTAGAGTCCTTATCTTCTAATAAGGAGCTCTAGGCGCTCTTAGCTATAGAAGTAGCCTTACGCGCAAGCTTAGTAGTAGTAGTAGTAGTTTTTACTAGCTCCTGCTATTTAGCCTTACTCTCCTTAAGGAGCACTAAGACCCTCTACTTCTTATTCTTAAGAAGGTCTTAGCTCTTATCTACCTACTTCCTTACTAGGAAGGATAGTATAGAATATTAGGCAAGCTTAGGGCTATTAGTTTATTAGTATAGATCTTACTAAGTATTATAAAGAAAAAATTCTTATATAGATTATATATATAGGGATATAGCTATACCTAGAGAAGTACTACTAGTACTAAGTCCCCTTACTAGAAGAGTTATAGCACTTGCTATTAGACTTATTAAAGAGCGCTAAGTATAGATAATTTAGATAAGTTTTAGTATAATAAATACTAGGCTCTCTATAATAGGAGGATCTTAGGGTCTCCTTAGGAGCTAGAGAGGGAGCAGGAGTAGAAGTAGGGATAGGGGGCAGGGTCTAGGGAGGAGCAGGAGCTAGAGTTAGAGCTAGAGTAGTAGGAGCTAGAGTAGGAGTGCCCTTCCTTAGCTTTATAATCTTAGCTATAGTAGTAGTAGCTATATACTTAGCTACTATATACTCTATAATAGCCTTATGCTTAGTAGTAGCGCGCTCTTCTTTAGTAGTAGTAGCTTTAGTAACTATAGCTTTAGCTATATAGAAGGTAATAAGGGTAGTATAGGTAGAGTAAGTATAAGTAGTAGGTTTTAACTTTAACTAAGATATAGGTTAGTAGGGATATAAGTATAGTTTAGATCTTTAGGGTTATATAATCTTATAACTTAAGCTATAGTAAAGATTATAGTTAGGTAGATAGAGTTATAGAACTCTATCTAAATAATATCTACACGCGTAAGCGCAGGCTAAATAAGGAAGGCGCGCTAGTTAGTATCTAAAGGGTAAGCTAATTTAACCCTTTAGATATATAATACTCTAATTAGCTATACTACCTACTAACTATAAGCGTAACTATAATAATAAAAGATCTACCTATACCTAGGGGGTGTATTATAGGAGGGATATTAACTAGATTATAGAGTATCTTAATCTAATTAATCCTAATTAATACCCCTATATAACCTACTATCTAATTAACTACTAGCTTACTACTAAGTGCCTAATAAAAAGCAGGAGCTCTAGTAAGGAAGGTTTACTAATTATTTACCTTCTAGTAAGGGTAGCTAAAGCTCTATATATATAAGTCCGATCGTAGTAGATATAATCTAATAATCTATCTCCTAAATTATTCCTAACCTTAGTAATCCAATTTTCCATAGTATGCTATAAAGTAGGGCTTGCTAACTATAGGTTAGCTAACTAGCCTAAGAGGTTGTAGAAGTTTATAGAAGTTTAGAGGAGGTAAGGCTTACTAGTAGGTAGGCTAGTTAGTTAGCCTAGGAGGTTATAGAAGTTTGTAGAAGTTTAGAGGAGGTAAGGCTTACTAGTAGGTAGGCTAGTTAGTTAGCCTAGGAGGTTATAGAAGTTTGTAGAAGTTTAGAGGAGGTAAGGCTTACTAGTAGGTAGGCTAGTTAGTTAGCCTAGGAGGTTATAGAAGTTTATAGAAGTTTATAGAAGTTTATAGAAGTTTAGAAAAAAATATATAATATACTATAGTAGGGAAAAAGAAGGAGGTTAGGGAGGGAGGAGGTTAGGGAGGGAGGAGGTTAGGGAGAGAGGAGGTTAGGGAGGGAGGAGGTTAGAGGTTAGGGCCTATAGTAGCTAACTCTATATACGCAAAATAGTTTATAATAGGCTTATATAATAATATAGTTTATTATTATATTATAGTTCTATTACTATACTTATAGTTATAATATAAAATTAAGATCTATTAGTATAATCTATTCTACCCCTAAGGATTTTTACTTAATAGTTAATAGGTATAGTATTATCCTAAAAATAGCTATATTATATTTTAAAGTTGCATTACACTAAAAAAATTCCTAGTTTCCCTTAGACACTCTACTAAAGCTACGCTAACCCTTTATATAAGCAGCCTGTGATTAGCCTAGAAGTTTATATCTAGCGCTAACTATATGATTAGCCTAGAAGTTTGTAGATATTTGCTAGCGCCGCAGGCGTGCATTTAGCGGAGCGTCTGATTCATGAGATAAGGGATAATGCACCATGGATTTTGAGACGCGCAAGGCTGGAGTCTGAGTCTGGTTGGGGGAATCGAGAGCCCGGGATGTTGGCTGGACTGTCCTGTGCCATTGACGTTACCAGGTAAGCCCCAGTTCGACAACAACGCCCCCGAGAAACTCGGGCGCTGTGTGTGTCTAGGTAGATGAGACAAAGCTAGAGTAACAAGAAGCACGCAGGGCAAAAGGCTCTTTTACTATTCTTGGCCGAAAGGGATTGCTGGGCAGGGCAGGGGCCATTGGATTGGGCTGGCCTGATCCCGTGTTACCCGTATATACTCTGGCCCACTGATCAGAGTCATGGCTCTCTTAGTCTCTCCTTTCTATGCTGGATATCCGCAATTGCTTACATACACGGTGATGATGGGGAACGACGGCAAGTTCACGGACGGCTCTTCTATCCACCAAGTCTTCCTCATCTAGGAAACGCCTTTTTTCTTCACCTTCCAGTCCTTTCTTTGAAAGAATACAAGTACATGGTCCATGTACACACACACTCGTTTCAGTAACTTCATTCAGCTGCTTCTTCGCTACTACATTATTCTCTATTTTTTAATTCGTCCATCCTAATTGCTCAGGATGCGGTCATTCGTTCCGGCCCTGACCTTTCTACTCGCTGGCTGTACGCTTGTCGCGGCTGACATGCGCGAGAAAGTGGATGTCGACCCTGATGTCAACGTTGACGTCGAAGTAGAGGTCCTCGTAAGCCATGATGGGACTTGTGGCAATGGCACATCGTGCTATGGCTCGCAATTCGGTGGATGCTGTGACGCATCAGGCTGTTGTGGCTCGTAAGTTCTCAATCATTACCAAGCCTCTGCAACGTAACTGACAGACACAGGACGAAAACTCACTGCGGCTATGGCTGCCAATTAGGTCTGGGCTACTGTGAGTACACGGTAGGCGAAGTGTCGCCAGACGGAACTTGCGGGTATGTATAATCCCATAACAACACACAAGTGGGCTGTTTTACTGATGGCAATGTGCCAAATTAGTGGAAGCAATGGTTACATATGCGAAGGATCACGATGGGGGCCATGTTGTAGCCAATGGCATTTCTGCGGATCTGGTCCCGAATATTGCGAGCCTGGCGACACGACCGGTACGGATCCCTTGTAGGCAGTTGAAATTAAGCATTTGCGCATTTTCTTGTCCTACTTCCGAATCCAAAAAGCACCTTACTGACTCCATAGATCGTAGATCACTTGCCCGCCGACAAAACGCCACTCAACCCTTGCCGAGTCCTCCTAGCATTCCAAATAACAACGAAGCCAATACGACACCCAAACCAACGCCATCCGTTCCCATTGTGGCCATCACACCCAGCATCATTCCCAGCTCTGCCAACCCCGCGGCCTCGTCGAGTGCATCTTCTTCGGCATCCGTGGCAGCATGCGCTGAAGCTTCTCCAAAACCGCAACCTGATGCGAACCCCGTGTTCAAGCGCGAGGAGATGGACCCCAATTGCACTCCTTGTGAAGGACAAGGTGGTTCTCCGCCCTATTGCGGTGCCGACCATACCACCAACCACTACAAGTTTACACCAAAGACTTGCCGCACTATTTACTACAATCTCGACATTACAAACATGACAGTGGCGCCAGATGGCTACTCGAGGATCGCACTGACAGTCAATGGGCAAATGCCAGGACCATTGATCGAGGCCAACTGGGGAGACAACGTCGTCGTCACGGTGAACAACAAGCTCCAGGATAACGGAACAAGCATCCACTTCCACGGCATCCGCCAACTGAACAATACCGAATACGACGGAGTCCCCTCCATCACCCAATGCCCCGTCGCCCCAGGTGACTCCATCACCTACAAGTTCGTCGCCACAAACTACGGCACCTCCTGGTACCACAGCCACTACGCCATCCAAGCCTGGGAAGGCGTTGCCGGGCCCATGATCATCCACGGCCCCACCTCCGCCACCTGGGATGAAGACCTAGGCACCGTGATGCTGTCAGACTGGTCCCACCGCACCGTCGACTCCCTCTACGACATGCGCCAAGACTCCGTCCACGGCGGACCCCTCATCCTCGACAACGGCCTGCTCAACGGGAAAAACACGTGGGGCGTCGACGGCACCAACAACCAAACCGGCTCGCGCTTTGAATTCGACAAGAAGTTTGAACCAGGCAAAACGTACCTCATTCGCATCATCAACTCTGCCATTCAGTCGACCTTTAAATTCTACATCGACGGCCATGATTTCGAAGTCATTGCAATGGACTTTACTAACATCGTACCTTATACAACAAACATTGTCAATATCCATATCGGTCAGCGCTACATGCTCCTCGTAAAGGCAAACGCCACACCAGGCAACTACTGGATGCGCGCCGATAACCAGCGTGCCTGTGCCGGACTCCGCCAATCCGACGACATCAGAGGTATCGTCCGGTACGCGAATGCAGGCAACGACACCGCAGTCCCCACCTCCACGGGCTACAACTACACAACCGAATGCGTCGACGAGCCGCTGGCCTCACTCGTGCCCTCGGCGCCCCTCGACGCTTTTCCCCAGATCGACGAGTTTACAGAGGACGTGACGTTTGGCGTGACTCCTGAAAAAATGTTCCGCTGGTATATGTCCGGGACGACGTTTTTTTCGCGCTGGGAGGATCCGACGCTGTTGCGTGTGCTGGGGAATGAGACTGCGCCGACGTATTCTGGGAATTCGATTTTGGATTTGCCGAGGTTGGGGGAGTGGGTTTATATCATTGTGCAGACGCCGGTTCCTGTGCCTCATCCCATTCATTTACATGGCCATGTACGTTTGAGATTTCCCCCCCCTTTTTTTTCCCCGCGAGCCCTTTTTCACCCAAATTCCCATGCAACCACAACCCCAAAAACTAACTCTATTCCCCCCAACAGGACTTCTTCATCCTCGGTTCCGGCCCAGGCCACTACACCGACCAACCGCTCAACCTACGCAACCCCCCACGCCGCGACACAGCCAACATGCCCGCCGCCGGCTGGCTCGCACTCGCCTTTGAAACCGACAACCCGGGCACATGGCTGATGCACTGCCACATTGGGTGGCATACGAGCATGGGATTTGCACTGCAGATCATCGAGGGCAAGAGCCTGATCAAGAGCACGGTCAAGGATGAATGCGGGTTGAGGGGGACGTGTAAGCGGTGGAGTGAGTGGGTGGAGAAGAGGAGCCATAAGCAGCATGATTCGGGGGTTTAGACGTGGAATGTAGTCGACCGATGTGGCAAGGTTCTTGTTGTTGATTGTTAGCGTGTCTGCATGTCATTTTTTTTCTTTTTTCTTTTTTTTTCTTTTCGCCATGGTACTAGAGCGGTTTCATTTGCGCAGTTGAGCGGAGGCGCAGGGCTTACTTGGATGGACTTGCTGCATCTCTAATATCCCGGGAGAGCGCAAGCTCGTGTGCGTGAGGAGAGGGGGCACGACTTTGGTGCGTTTGCGTAGACCTCTTACTATACCTGAGTATCTCGCACTATTGCGGCATGCTCAGTGTTTAAAAAAAAATCTTCGACGATCAAAGAATTCATGTCTGGTTTGGAATTCGAGGCTGGAAACAATAATGAGGTTAGAGTGCTTTGTGAGTGTGAGTGGTACATGGTTCTGGCGTCTGAGTATGGGGAAGGGGGGTTTTGTGTTGTGTATAGATGGCAAGATTCGGACTATGTGGGTTACCTGTTCTTGGATATTGGTTGTGATGACGGAGGATGAGCGAGTGTGGTGATGCAAAGTATGAAGGCGGATGTTCATATATGGTTAGTCAAGGGAACGTTTAGTGACACTCAAGTCTTCATCCTTTCTGAATCTTCCGGGCGTGAGGGCGTGATGCTGGAAAGAAAATGGAGGAGGGATAGAATTAGTCAAGCACAGATGGTGAGAGGAGATGGTCTTCCAGGTCAACTGGCAGAAGAGTTTTGGCCAACGTATCGGGCAAGTTCTTGCAAACGCGTTTAGAAATATTGCGTGCGCGCCTCAGTTACGCTGCGTCATGGAGTCTAGCTTGTTCCCGGCAAATTGTCAACATGCGTTTCTCTAGGTTGCAAGATGGAGAGCAGAGAGTTATCACATCACACCCTTTTAGCTTCCTGCACATCAGACCTGTACAAATGCAGAAGGAACACAAGCTTCCCAATATGAGCTGCATGTCCTTATCAGATCCTCAAGCTCAGAGAAGAAGACTTGACTTGCCCACTTTCCGATTCAAGCGAGGAATCCGAAATCCTGGAAAGTGGCTGATTCTGCATACTGGTATTGACGATGTATGCTTGCACAAGGGAAATTTGGCGCGAGAGCTACATGGCGGGCTTGTCGTGACAGCTGTCCGACAAGCAAGTTCTTTGGCGCTGTTCAGGGAGCTGGCTACTGATAATGCACTTCGCGTGTACCATCGCTAGGGACAGATGGTAAGCGTACCAATTATAGAAAGTTAGTGTACCCCGTTTTGGGTACCTGCATGATATTCAGTAGCTAGGTGGATGACTGCTGACAACGGTTGCTGACTGAAGGATGGCGAGATAAGACCGTTGCTGAAGGAATAGTATCGAGAACGGGGGATGACCATAAGAAGAAATCGACGTGCAGGGTTCGGTGGCGCAAGTGCTTATGACTTGATGCAGGGCCACTGTCTTCACCGAAAATCCATCGGGGCACCTGGTCTGTATATGCAGTGGAATGTTGGGCTGACAGGTCTGGGTGCGTACAAGAAGTCGTTAGATGTCAAGGCGAACAGAAGCGGAAGCTTGAGAGGTGGTAAGCCAGCCTGATGCGCATTCCTATAGTTACAATCCATGGAAACCTTCTCATACAGCCAGCCTAGCCACTGCCGGGAGGTGATCTGGGCTGTTTCTTGACGAAGTAATAATCATGTTGGCTGGCTTCACGAATGCAAATCCTTGTTGATGATAGTGGATTGTTGACTTGTGTGTATGTGTTGGGTATATTGGCAAGCCAAATTTTGACGAAGTTTACCGAATTATGCTGTGAAACATTGGTGACATGATCCTGTGGCCTGGTAATTGAGGTAGCATCGGGGCCTTGACGTGTGGCTGGGCCGAATCGACATGTGGCTCTTACATTGAAAGGTGGGTAGCCGTTTGTACAGGAGTGGTACGCTGACGGAGGACTCTAGAACCAGTCCATACCAGAGCACTCCCATAGGAGGAGGGCAGGATCCGAAGGATCAAAGCCTAACATATTAGAGAGTAGGCGATTTATCTCTTGGCATCGGCGCAAATGGACGATCCAGGAAGGTGTGGATACTCGCGCCAATAGATCGACAGCAGGGCTCTCCAAAAGCTTGTGGTAAGCTAACGTCACAACACCCATTGTCTGGGATAAAGACAAGCAGACGATGCCATGGCTGTGGTAAGGTTAAACGATTTTCGCGTCCCCAATTCTGCAATGCCCAAGTGAGCACCTGCGGCCTGCCTAACTGATAGAGGGCGTATGGGTTGTGGCTTGCTATCGCGAGGAGTTCAGCTTGATGAGGTACGGTGCAGGCCGACATTCCACCATCTAGTTTTGTAATTCCTTGTACAATGGTACGCAGTGTGTATTCGAGGTGATGATACGGGACGCTTGGAAGTACATGACCAGCTCATATCAGGTAGCATCCATAGGTATGTCATCAGCCGTCCCTTTGCTTTTGCCTGGCCTTTTTGAGGCTTGACATGGCGACAGCAATCAGAGAAAGCTACTGGTAATCGTAGTAGGCAATATCCTGACCAGAAGAAAATAGGCAAATCTGGAGCCCGTACCTAGGTAGGTAGGGTAGGTATACTCTGAAGATGCAGTACCGGTAGGCGGAACAGTTTTCACTCTCGGCTTCGTGCGTACCACGTTTACGTGCATTTGGATGACAGATGGCATGCATGCGCTTGTCACTATCCGCAGATTGACGATACGGTTTGGCTGTGGCTCCAATCGATGCCGGGTCGATGGAGCATTGCGACAGATGGAATGGCCGTTCGTCTGGGGCCGCTTGAGCACGTGCCATGCTCACATGCGGAACGGGACGAAGGGGAACCGGCAACCATCCGTTCGTGTTAGGGAGGGTTTGGGACATGACGGCTACCGGTACCGGTCCCGTAAGCGTTTCTTCACAAGACCACACCCCACGCTCCTCGTCATCGCACCAGATTCCGGACCCATGTATGCAGATGTGCCTTATGACAACTAGAGTCCACAGAACTTGTCGGCTCTCGGGCATGTGTTCGCAACAGGCAAGCGCAGCAACCAGAGAAACCTTCGGTTAGGCACGGTGCCAGTACGGTACCCAAGGCTCAGCCACTGGTGTTGAGATCTTCATATCCAGTCCGGTATCGTCTCGCGTGTACTCCGGGGAAGACTTGATGGAGTGCCACTTTGTGGGGACATCCGCAGCCTTGCGTGACCGGAGCCTGTAGTGGTAGTCATGGTTGATTGACCGTCGGGTTCGTGACCCCTCCCCCTTCCTAGGTATTGCACGAACATGGTAATCTATCGAAGACAAGGCCGCCCCACCCGTACCAGAAGTGTCTTGATTATCAGTCGACACTCAGACATGTGCGGTCCACTCAGCCATTGCGACGTGCAAACTGGAGGGCCTGCTGCCGGGCTGTCTCAGGCTCCTTATCATCCTATCTGCCTAGAGATGTGGCTAGGCTCATGGATAATTATATTGATCTGCACGAACAGCATCCAAAGAAGAAGGTGGAGGGGATTATAACGTGCTTTTAAGCTTAATGTTAGTGGCCTTGGTCTGGTCAGCGGGCTCCTTTGCATGGCGGACGCCAACTGTCCGATGTAAGGTACTCATGACGACAACAGACCTGTCGTTGACGCCTACGGCGCTGCCGTGAATAGGGCGTTCTGGGATGCCGATCTCCTAACCGCAATGGGAAGGTTCTTTGCTGCTTTCACGCTGTCTCACTGGCAAATGCCTCATGTGGAAATGTGATTGGCTAAATACTAAACGACTACTCCAAGCTACCAGAGTACTTTGCACAGCAAGGGGTCGTATAATAGCAGACATGAGCTGCCCGAGAGGCCGTAGATGTAAACAGCCTCCCTCTGATATGACCAGGGGGCCATCGTTTAGTCGTCGCGGGCGAAAAGCTCGAGATTTGTTTGGGAATGAAGCAAGTGCTTTAATGGCCTCACGGCCAAGATCTCTAGTGATTGGATGTGGTGCTCACCATTTCACTTTACAGAACTGTAGTGAACTTAGCGGCCTTGTATGGAAATGTTCACGGTCCATGAAACCTTAGTCTGTCGTCTAGACCAAGTACCTGATTATTATCCGACTAGAGTCTCTGCTCCACATGTGATTTGCCAGAGAGAAAGACAGGCGCGGCTCTTCCCGATTATCGGCATTTGGAATCAGGGGACAAAGAGAATACAGTTCAGTATTAAGCCATTCCAAGTCGGGCTCCATGCCGCGAGTATCTTTCAAGAGAGAGGTTCGTTCAATATTGTGGAACCACAGACACAGCCGACAAAGACATGCAGGGCACGTTGAGCAAATACAGTGTGATTGTCGGCATCAAGTGACGTCCGATCTTCAACTGGTTGAGTGATCAGGCATATCATGCTGCGCCCAAGGATTGGGATCAAGCTCTTGCAGTATCGCACGTCTACTCTTTGCAATCCAATCGCGCTCCTGCATTCTGACACCTTCTCCGCTGGATCTCCATACAATATTGTTTCCATCCCTAAACCAGTAAACACCTTTAATCTCGACTGCATGTTGCCAAGATCCAAACTTCTGATCCTACACTAGGCTCTATCCTCTTCTCATCCCTCATGTCGTTCAGCCAGCTCGCCGTCCACACTATCATAGTACCTTCGGAGCAAGTAGTGGCGGCCAGTACTGTCTTACCTCCCCTTCTCGGCATCGAGGGAGCATACTCGCTAAGGTGAGCCGCTTCATCGCTTAACGGCATCAGGTCTTGCAGAGTGAGTACATTTGGTTTGCGCCATGCTATGTTGGTCACAGTGGCTGATCCTAACTGGAAGGTGCATTTACCTCCGGTCAGCTTGATACACCTCATGATGCTCATTGCGTGTATATAAAGCATACAAAGAGCCCTCTCATATCATCAGACAGTAATCAAAGCAGCCCTCAGTCCATCAGCAGCATCTCCCTACGATCTTCTTTCCACCATCATCGTTCTCCGGCCGCAAACATGAAGCTTTCAATCCTCCTTGCACTCCTGCCTGTGGCTCTTGCCCTGCCAGCGCCCGTCATTGTTCCTCGTGCTGGTTCGCCTATCCCAGGAAAGTTCATTGTCAAGATGAAGAACGAGAACCTCGAAGAGCTTATCAACAGCGCTTTGAAGCTGCTTAACAAGGATCCAGCCCATGTTTACAACTTTGGTGGATTCGGTGGATTTGCTGCTGAAATGAATGACGGCCTGGTCCAGCTGCTCCGCAACCTCCCTGGTGTACGCTACTCGACTCCAGTCTGGACCAACTCTGCTAACGAGCAATAATAGGTTGAATACATTGAGCAGGATGCCATCGTCAAGGCCAACCTTGGCGAAATCCACCTCGAAAAGAAGGCCTATGTCACCCAGGCTTCTTCTACTTGGGGACTTGCTCGTATCTCTCACCAAAGTCGTGGTAGCACTTCGTACACCTACGACAGCAGCGCCGGTGCCGATACGTGTTCGTACGTGATTGACACCGGTATCTCAGTCTCCCACCCAGAGTTTGAAGGCCGCGCCACATTCCTTGCCAACTACGCTGGCGATGGCTCCAACAACGACGGCAACGGCCACGGCACTCACGTCGCTGGTACCATTGGCTCCAAGACCTACGGTGTAGCCAAGAAGACCCAGCTTTACGCTGTCAAAGTCCTTGACGCAAGTGGTTCAGTAAGCTAAACATGCTCCCTTACACTCTAGCACATTTGCTAACTAAACGAAGGGTACCAACTCGGGTGTCATTGCTGGAATCAACTTCGTCGCCAACGATGCAAAGACTCGCAGTTGTCCCAAAGGCGCTGTTGCTAACATGTCTCTTGGCGGTTCTCGCTCTACCGCTGTGAACTCTGCTGCTGCCAACGTCGTTTCTGCTGGCGTCTTCCTGGCTGTTGCCGCTGGTAACGAGGCTCAGGATGCTAGCAACTCTTCACCCGCATCTGAGGCTACTGCTTACACTGTCGGCGCTACTGACAGCTCCGACCGTCTTGCTTCATTCTCCAACTTCGGCAGTGTCGTCGATATCCTCGCACCTGGCGTCGCCATCCTATCCACCTGGTTGAACGGTGGCACAGTGAGTTTCTCCTGCCTCATTCAGGCCAACCTTGATACCAAAACTAATCACTGCTTGTAGAATTCCATCTCCGGTACCTCCATGGCATCTCCTCATGTTGCCGGCCTTGCTGCCTACCTTCTTGGCTTTGAGGGCAAGAAGACTCCCGCTGCTCTTTCTTCGCGCATCACCGAGCTGTCTCTGAGGAACAAGATCACTGGCGTACCATCCGGTACCAAGAACTACCTTGCGTTCAACGGCAACCCCAGCAGTTGAATCAATAATAGGTAGATTCTATTACCAACCCAAACTTTACATGAGTGCGAAGCATCCTGGACAACAGGCACTAGAGATTATACCTTTCCATATACCATTTTCTTACAAACAAACAACCCACGATTATTGATCGGGGAAGCAAGACGAAAGCCATCGAGTGGAGTTCAGTACTTTCTAGTCGCAATACAAGTCTTACATATGTCTCAGAAAAATCCACCACAAGCTGTGTGTCCTCACTGTGATACACGTCTGCAGTATCTAGCCGCAAACTCGTGCTTTATCGTGACAGCATTGACTCTGTTTGTGGTACACAACGGCGTTCAACCTCAATGGCAGTGCCACGCAAACGGGTCCAGTGTAACCTCGCGAGTCGTTGTGGCATGAGTGTGACTAGATGGTGCGATGTGAATAATGCACTTGCGAACCGCCATTTTCTTCCCCCGACGGTGCCGAAACTGCCTTGATGTGGATGTGGGCTGGTTGGGACTTAGGGGAAGCTTTGCGCTTTGAGTCGCACGGTATACACACTGCGTTTGGATTGATTCGTGAGACGTTTGTTTCTTCTCGGTGGACTTAAAGATTGAATGGATAAGTATTGTGAAACAAGTGGATTTTTTTTTTTCGCATACCGTACTGCTCGACTAGATATAGTACATAAGTGTTCCTTTTTCTCATGCTCACAAGATCTAAGCCTACATTCGGTATTTGGTTCCAAGCAATCGCGTGCCGAGTTCAACTACGAGCCATTCTTTTTCTCGCCTATGTTCGAACCCCTCAATGCTGATCAATGTTCTTTTCTTCTTTTGTTTTCACGGTCCATGGTTTTTTCAAGCCTATCAGTTCGCTTAGGTCTCATACTTGGTCATATTTCAACCCTTTGGTCTTGCGGTGATGTTGATTTGGGTCATCTTCTCGGCTGTGCATTCCTCTGGTACTGTCAATGTATACAGAGTGAATTGATCGCGTCGTCTCAATATTTCAACGAAAGTTTGGTCCAAAGTATCAAGGACTGATTATATAATGTGCTCTAGACATTCATTCGTGTCCATGTTGACAGTTCTAGAGTGAAGGTTTATTGTTCCGACATGCAGGTGCTCCTACATATGGTAAGGCAGCTGTGAGTTACTGTGGTAGAACGTGCGCACGAGCCCCGATTGTGGGGTGCTTATCTGGTGACCACATCAACCCCATGCGCTTGCTTCCAGTCTCTCGTCTACTCTCACCTGCCGTTAATTTGTAACGCGCTCTTTGTGTGTTATAGTTTGACGCCCGTTGCTATGCTGATTCTACAGTTGCTGACATTAGTGGCTGCCCGTACCGGTACGTCTGGCGCCTGGGACACCTTTCACTCGCCAGCAGCATTGGTAAGACGCGATACGACAGCTGGCCTTTCTGATTTCGAAGCCATAGAGAATACCTAGCGGCCGAGTTAGATTCTCTGGGGTTGTGAAGACTCAGAGATGTTTCAAGTCCCATAGCCGGGCGTTGATCGGCGCATGCCTACTACCGGTAGAACCGGTACATGGAAATCCTGGCAGCATCCTGTCTGCGGTAGCCATAAGACCTAGATTCGTCCATTTCCCGAGCGTTAATATGGCTGGAGCTGGGATGCGAACTCGAACTTACTCAGCGTACGACCGGTACGACAGAGGAGTTCTTGCTCCAAAGTGATGGAACGTGTCACAACCCTGATTGGCGGGACCAGAAGAATACTAATCCCAAACTTTGAAGCGCAATCTATGTTCCCGTGGTATTCGTCGAAATCACATCGTCGTAATACAGCTGACGGGCAATTGAAGACGTGTTTCACTGAACAGGGTTCATCTTCATTGCGCCAGAAAGAAGGACTCAATCCACACGCTGATCAGCACCTTAGGCCTATTACTCAAGGCATTACTCGGATCGGTTTGAGTTGAATATTTTCTTTAAACATTCTTCTCATGCATTTCCATTACCGCATTATAGCAAGGATATCTACAACAGAGCAAATCTGAATGGACAACAAAAATACACCCAGGATCTTGTTGTTATGTGAGCGGTACGGTATGTACGACATTTTCCTAAATCATTCCGGGCTTTGACCCAGCTAGGTCAATGATTTCTACCAGTATATTGCAGCAACATCAGCTTGCTTCCCAAATAAAGTGCGGCCTTTGTCGCTAGCGATCGGAGCCTCTTTGGGCAAAATCCTACGAGCTGAAACATACAATGACATATGTAACGATTAGACAGCTCTTCGGCAGATGGTTTTCGGTTTTTTCAGAAATGGTTCCAAGATAATGGTTGCGGCTAAGAAGGAGCATATACGCCCGGCACCTATGGGATCAAAACAGCTGTGCTCGCAGGATCTGCCACCCCTGCTCCGATAGTGGTTAGGATATGATACTCAGCCTTCCTCAACGTCACGAATAAAGTCGGATGTGACAGATGCCAATCAAAAGGAGTCAAAAGACTCCCGTGTGCAAGACGGTCCACCAATCCTTGGTCACCGTTTACACAAAAGCTGCATCAAGCCTCCCGTACGGTTTCCTGGCAAACTAAACATGAATGTGAAGGATCTCCTCGAGGCATTGCGCGAACAAAGTCTTGCTAAGCCGATACAAAGACCTCATTTCCTATGTGTAGCAGAACACGATACCTTGCCGTCAGACAGCGCCACAACAACTCCCTTTGCGTGTACTCGACCGGATTCCAGCCGGTTTGTGACTCAAAGGTCGCATGTGCAATGGCAGAGTGCGTTCTTCCGGATAGCTCAGAGTTCGAATTGAAATCGCAAAAGGGGGAAAAATCGAAGTTAACTTACCAAATTTACTCAGGCCGAACTCGCTCATGATGGAATATATGCTTGCAGACGAATCAAACTTTCGAGATCGGATGATTTGAGGTCATTAGAAGGACTACCGGGGTTCTGTAAACGACTGTCTGAGATAGATACCCATGAGTCGATGAACTGGGCATCATGCGATATGCCTCAGTTTCTGGGGTCGAAATATGACAATCGAATGGTCTCAGAACAGCCATATGGCGATCTTCCTTTGTCGGATGCATAACTGCGGCCATCTACTCAATTTACGCATACCTAAAGATGCCACAACATATTGAAAAACAATGCTTTGGAAATGACCAGCACCTCTTTGTAACCTTCACAGATCAATTCTCTAGCTGTTCGTTTACTATACCGCTATTCAGCACGGCAACTACGGAAAGCATGTTTCTTTGTCCCGCTTCCCCTGATACGACTGACCTACCATAATATCTAGATCCGGAAATTGGTTCAACCACTGCACCCCCATTCACGTTACTATCACAGATTGAAGATGCATACGGATGTTGCACAGCCATTTCACCCTGGGTATTTACCCATGGCCCTACTTAAGAGGCCCATTCCGTTCGAAATCGCCTTTTCTCACAAACCCGTCGCGGTCCATTGCCCCAACATAGCACCCACTGTCCGTCAATATGCTCGCCATCGCACTGCTAACTCTGCTCACCGCAGCCTCCGCCATACCCTTGAAGGAGCGTGAGGAGAAGAACCTCGTTCCTGGAAAATACATTGTTAAGTTCAAAGAGGACATCCACACCAGTGCCGTTCAAGATATCCGATCCATGGTCTCCGCTTCCTTGGACCATGAATATTCCTTCCCTGGCTTCCTAGGCTTCGCGAGCACACTCTCCGAAGAAGAGTTTGCCAGACTTCTCAAGTCGGATTTTGTCAGTCATTTATTCAACTGCATTGTATGCTTGAACACAACGGAGCCCACGTGACTAACACAAACACAGATCGAATACATCCAACAAGACGCCATTGTGAGCGTCACAGCCATTGAGACGCAGTTCAATTCCACATGGGGCCTTTCCCGCTTATCCCACCACCAACGCTCAAACTGCACACCCACATACGCATTCGACGAAACAGCCGGACAAGGAACATGCGCCTACATCATCGACACCGGCATCGAAATCGACCACCCCGAATTCCAAGGACGTACGTATATCCACATCACCACCCATCTCCCCATCCCACACCTGCCCCCGCACCAGCTAACTGTTACCCCCCTCCTCCACCACAGGAGCCGAATTTCTCGTCGACACCTCGGGCGAAGATAAACTCATCGATGGCTACGGCCACGGCACCCACGTCGCTGGCACCATCGGATCCGCAACCTACGGCGTCGCCAAGAAAACCCAGCTCTTCGCCGTCAAGGTCCTGCGCACAAACGGGTACGGCACGACTGCCGGTGTCATCGCGGGTATCAACTTTGTCTACAACGATGCCAAGACGCGGAGGGCGCAGTGTGCAAAGGGTATCGTGTCGAACATGAGCCTGGGCGGGGTTAAAAATAAAGCGATTAACGAGGCGGTAAGTTGACGCCCATTTGAATACTTCCTTTGCGGAGAAGTCCATGCTGTAGACCTCCTCCCGTGCGTCTATGTGCCCTATTAGTAATATTTTCTAACACCAAACCCAAACCACTCCCAGGCTGCAGCCCTCGTCTCCTCGGGCGTCTTCCTCGCCGTCGCAGCCGGCAATGAAGGCTACCCAGCCTCATACTCGTCCCCCGCCTCCGAACCCAGCGTCTGCACAGTCGGTGCCACAGACATGAATGACCGCATGCCCGAATGGTCCAACTGGGGCGAACTGGTCGATGTGCTGGCGCCTGGCGAAAACGTGACGAGTACCTGGGTCGGGGGCGGCATGCGCAAGGTGTCGGGTACCAGTATGGCGACGCCGCATGTTGTCGGGCTGGCGGCGTATTTGCTGGGTTTGGGCGGGCATACCGAGGCTGGCTTGTGTGGTGTGATTCGGGATATGGCGACGCAGGAGGTGGTGGAGTTGGGGGCGTGGCAGACGGGGACGCCGAATTTGTTGGTGTGGAATGGGGTGGAGGAGGGTGTGCGTAGGAAGAGGTTTGGGGGGGCGAGAACAGTTTGAGGGGCCTTTTGGTTGTAGGTTGCTTCTCAGGCAAGAGGTATGGTGGAGTGGTGATTGTTAGTTTGGAAGTTTGAGGGAGATTTTGGGAAGGGGTCGATTATTATGTAGCTTATTATCAACAGGGCGTTAAGAAAGACATTGGATAAAACGCTTGTGAAGTTACACCAGACGCCCGTGCTGAGCTTACAAGTTGTAAGATCATACCCCTAACTGTACTCATAACCATGGTTGAATGTTTCCGTCCGCATTTTACCGCCCAAATCGCAATGTAGCGCGTCTTTGCAATCCTCCCTGGGATCTCAGCTCGACATAGCCTCGATGCCAAACGAACGAATCCTTCTGTGCATTCTTCAAAGCATTCACGCAACACGAACAGCATCATCCCGGATATCGTTCTCGCGAACATGCGCAATCAGATCCTGCACATCACTATGTGAAAGAGAGCCTTCGTCAACCGTCATACCAAGCTGCTGCTTCTTTGCCTCCTCTTCACGCCGAATCTCCTTCACCCCATCATCACCGCGTTCCAACATAGGAGCGCTAGCGGTCCCGGAATCGATAGGTTCTAGGTCGGCAGTATCTCCCAGCGAAGTCTTCCTGACATGATCGACCAATTCCTTAATATCACTGTGTGATAAGCTCCCTTCATCGACCGTCATGCCAAGTTGTTTTTTCTTGACGTCTTCTTGACGTTTCAGTTGGGCTTCTTGTTCGTCGTTTTCCCGGGTAGCCTGCTCGTTTTGTTTCGATTCTCGTCTTGATACCCAGCGCACTAGTTCATCGACGTCGTTGTCAGTGAGATGGTTCTTCTGCTTCGGTTCAGGGGAAATTGAAGCGCGGCTCCTTGACCGCCCTCGTTCCTGATCTTCGCCCAAAAAGTCTGCCCGATCATACACAGGTGACGCAGCCTCGCCGCCCCTTCTATCATACCGATTGATCGAGCGACCGATCTCTGGTACAGCATCTTCATGGTTCTCTTCAAACTTGGAGTCGAGCTTTTTCCGCTCTAAGCTCTGGCTTACGGGGCCAGCGCGAGGGCCATCGCGATGTGATATCCAGCGTACGAGATCATCAGCGTCTTCTTCTTCATCTGATGAGTCGTCGATGACCTCAGTATCTGATTCTGTGGATGCGTCGCTATATCCACTGTTTTGTGGTTGATCCTGTTCTTCTCTTGTGGTAGACTTTCGGCTCACCCACCGCACTAAGTCGTCGACATCCGAGTGCCCAAGGCTTTCCTGGTCACTATCTTCGTAGAGCTCGGGAACAAAAGCATTCGCTTTCGCCTCACGGCTGCCTGCTGCTTTACCTCGAATGACGAATCGTGATAACTCCTCAATTTCTGAGTCATTGATGTTGGCATTGTCGTCTTCCGCATTGAATGAACCAGTTTGTCCATTCTCAATGTCTGACGAGGGTGTCGGCGCATGATCGTCGAACACAACGGTCGCATCGTTTTCGCCAATCTGGCTCATGGTAGGTACATCTTTACTCGTGATTCGTCGTATCTTGGTCCTGATTCTCTTCCCAAGCGCATCCTTTGTTTCGGTTTCAGGTGTCCTGGGCCGATGCATCTGTCGATTATCATGTTGGGTTTTCCACTCCTCAACGGCCACCTCCTCTTTCTGTGTGTCTTCTTTTGCAATTGTCTTCATCTTGTCTTCAATATTTGCCTGAAATAGCATGCTTCGAAGAGAGTGGAAACGGGCCAAATGAGTAGGTTTGTCTCTTGCGGAGCTATTTCCGCCTGCGCGCGCTGCGGCTACCTTAACGTGTGCTGAGTCCTTGCTAGAAGACGCCTTTGAAGAATGCCTGTTTGGTGACAGTGAAGATGGCTTGAGCGTCTTTCCCTGCCTTTGTGCTTTCGTCTCTTGGCGTGAAGATGAGGGTCCAGTCAAACCGGTGCTTTTATCGTCTGGATTTGCCGAGTTCTCTTCATCAGATAAGCTTTCTACTTCACTGCTGCTGTCTTCGTCTTCGTCTTCGAGATGTTCAAGTATTTGTGTAACAGCAGGAGACATTAAATTCAAGCTACCCAACTGCCTGCGCTCATGGGCGGGGACTTCTTCTATACGCGCTGTCGTCGCCGAAGTATCCTGGGCTGGAAGCTCGAAATATGACGCCATGACTCGAGCGCCACGTTTGGGAGAGACCTAGGTCCTTACAATGGTTTACGTCGTTTTGTCCAAGCGTGCCAATGAAGCGGTTATGTAGCGGGAGCATGCGAAGGTGGCTGTGAGTCTTGGAGGGCTTGGACAGCCTGGGGGAATGTTCGTGTCCAGGACATAGGCTAGCTGAATACAGCAAGGCGTCTCCCCCGCAATGCTCTTGGGAGAGCGCACCGTGAATGACGCTTGTTTCGTGGAAGAGTGAGGCAACGATCTGCACACGATGCTGGGCGGTCGCCGATCTAGAATCGAACCGTTTTGCTAGAGAAGAAGGGATGCGAGATCGCGGATGAAGGAACGGAACATTGCCGAAGGAATTGTTCGGTACAATCTCGTCATGCGGCCGAAGCATTCAGGGTCCATCCCACGAAGTCTATGACCGCTCCACGTTGCACTGGACCCTGTGGATGTCACATGACGCATGACGTACCAACCCTCTGTGCTCTTTCACACTTCGCGCTCTCTTCCCTTCCACAGTTGTACCGACAAAACTATCAGGCCTCCATGGCCACGTGTGAGCTTTGTAGTCTTGCATAAACGTTACAACGACATGGTATTTACTTACTACCATATTTACCTATTGCAGGACTTTTGGTAGCCAGTCGCTAACTATTCTTCAAAGCCTCTGCGTGTACTCGGACCTCCTCGCCGGCCGTATAGCCCGTAGAAACCGTTTCATGTCAAATGTCACATACATTCGCGCTTGCACTCGCGGTTCTCCACATGTGAGCCGCATTGTGATCTAGGGCACGGAATGTTCAACCTTGACCCGACTGGGCGGAACATTCCCGAAGACTACAACCGTGATCTACACAGTCCCAGCGCAAGAATGAACGACTACATCCTCCGCTAGCAACAAACTCAGATCTGAAACCTCCATCTGGGATGGCGATCACCCTGCTTCAGATCCTCTGCGCTATCATGAAACCCAGGTGTATCCGGATGCGCAACAAGATACGCCTCTTTTTCGCTGTTTTCCTTGTTTAGAAGCCACAATAAGGCACTAACGACCACGATGTTCATGCAGAGATAGCCAAGTGCAAACGAGTGTCCGAGCACATATCTGGGTGCTGTGTTTGCTCGGTATAGCTGCGTTCCCAACACAGCACCCAGATTTCCAATAGAGATTTGCATCGCATTTGCTGTCGCGCGTTTAGTCTGACCGGACACGTTGATGGCCGGCCAACTCAATACGAGAGCGACCGACGGGTAGATGCCGATCGCGGCAAGGAAGACGCCTGCGTAGGAAACGCCTGGTTGAACTTGCGGGTTCTTGTTGGCGAGCAGAATAATATAGCCAATGATGGCTACGGACGAGGTGATGATGATGAAGAGTCCGCGCTTTGCATATCGTTCGGACAAAATGGCCCAGAAGATTGTGAAAATGGTGGCCACGGCGTAGGGCGGGATGGTGAGTAGTTGAGATTGAGCGGCGGTGTAGCCCATATCTTTGATGATTGTTGGCTTTGAATGTCAGTACATTTTGAAGAAAATTGTAGGATTACTACTTCAGAAATCGTGCTTACCAGAAAGAGAGACAGAGTATACAGAGGTAGACTCATGGTGTGGAAACCGAGACCATACAACCATACTTTGGGATCTTTACAGCCATTCAAGACGGCATCCCAGCTGAAGGCCTCATCATTTGTGGCATCGGAATCCGCCTTCAAACGAGCTTTGATAAAGGCACGCTCCTTGTTCGACAACCAGCTGACTGTGTCCGGATAGTTTGAAATGAACCAATACGCGATAACACCGACGACGATTGTCAACAAACCTTCCTTTACAGTCGTCAGTTGTGGTTTTTTAGAGGCCGGCGGACTTACAAGAATGAAGATAAATCTCCAACCATTGTATCCACCTACACCTCGCATATGTCCGATACCTGGTTTGTCAGTACAGGTCATGTATGCCTTTGAGGGGCCATACCATATGCCAAGATACCACCAAAAGCACCTGCTAGAGAAGCACAGGAGAAGAACAGCGAGATGCGGTATTGCCTTTCATCTCGTTTGTACCACATAGACAAGTAGTAAACCACTCCTGGGAATAGTCCGGATTCTGCAACACCAAGACTGATCATGTTAGTCGCGGCTAGTACTAGTAGACCAAGAACACGACTTACAAGAATCGCACGGCGAAAAATCCAGCCACGTTTTGGGTAAATCCCATTAACGTTGCAATGATACCCCATACGATGGTAAGCGTCGGCAACCAGAATTTTGGCGTCGTCCTCTTCAAGATGACATTGCATGGCAACTCAAATAAAACGTAACCGATGAAGTATAGAGTAAGAGCGGTGAGGTACTGGTCAGCAGACATGTGCAAATCGGTTGTCAGGCCTTCGAGGCGTGCATTGGCAACTACTTTAGATCAGCCCGCCATCCACTCACAAGGTCTATTGCCTGACCCCACTTACTGTTACTTCGATCCAAAAACGACAACAGATACAATATCGACACCGCGGGGAGCAATCTCAAATCCAGTGTCCGTAGCAGCCTCTTCTCATTAACCGACTCCGACATAACCTCCACATCCTCCACTGAAGAACTCGACGACGCCGCCGCCGCCGCCGAAAGCTCCTCTTTCTCCACAGCCATGATGTTGGAAACCGGTAGTCGCAAATCTCACGCAGCCCCAAAACTTTGCTTGATCTGACACGAGACGAAGAAGACACAGATCCGAGAACCAGAAAAGCGTAAAGCTTAAGTACTCCCCCCGACCCCAACAACACTTGTCATTCCAATTCATCATGCGTATACCAGCTCCAAATGATGCAAGAACAGGGCTTCAGCAGCTCAAAACCCCCTCCCTCCGGCCCTTTCGTCATGTATCAGGGGTGTGATTGCGTGCCTGGCAAGTTGCATGCATTGCAATTGGACTGATGGCAAGCATTACTTCCGAGACGCGTCTTGATCTCGTCGAGGGGGCGTCTCAAAAGGGATAGGTTTGTATGGAAAGGTGATTGCTGGTGGGTGAGGCACAAGACTTGCGTGATGATTTGGATTATGTCGTGATTGTAGATCTGATGGCGCTAGCATGGTTTGGGGTTGGCGTTGGGGGGTGGGTTACTAGTTATCTCGGCTAGTTTGAGGATCACGTTACTTGTCGTGTGCCATGAAAATAGCCAGGATGTAGCAGTGGCAAATCACATGATACTCAAACCACCCGAGCGCATGAGGTAGGATGGGGCGCTCTGTTACCTCTTCGCCGCGGGGGCAGAGTGAGGAGGACCCCAAGCTACCTAGATCTTATCGAGTCGCTGAATGGTCTTCGGTTCAGCAAGACTGTGTTGAAGTGAATAAAAGTCGGGTTTAGTATTCGGTAACACTAGGTACGTGGTAGCTACGTGGGCATCACACACTGTAGCTGGTGGTGCGTGACTGATTAGACAATTATCATTACTGTTTCCTATGTAGTTAAGCGTATTATCGGCCCGCTCGGTATCTTCTAGTTGTTGATGAAGCACATACTGTTACGAGTACCTATTCGTACTCTGCTTCTCTCTCTCAAGCCGACTTGTTGTCTTCAACCTTATAATTCTCCATCTCGCAGCCACGCAGCGCACCTATCCACCGTTCGGCCACCGCAATGCCATGATACCACCGAATCTTCTTCCACTCCTCGTTTGCAAACCGCTGAAGAAGCATAATCGTACAGGCGTGAATCTCTGAACGCGCGGTAGCCAAGACGCGAACAGTAGTCCCAGTGGAGCTCATGTAGCCGCGGTAACTATCCCATTGGGAGCCCTGACCCGGCCAGTCAAGAGATGGCATAAGTCTGAGCGCATTAGACAGGCGTGTCTTGTATGATTGAAAGTCTTGATCTTGGACTTTGACCATGTACCCAGCGCACAGACCGACGATACCCCAACTAACTGTCTCGATATCCAACTTGTTTGTCTCGAGTAACTCTTCGAGTACGGCTAGTGTAGACATCCAAAGATGCTCCAAGAATATGAGATCCTGACTAGCGAGGCTTTGTGGTTGCGCGTATTCTTTGCAATCCTGAGCTGCAGCTAAAGACAGCGCGAGAACGGCGGGCGAAGCATCTTGACTACTACTGGTATCGCGGGTAACGTCGGCACGGACAAATACCATTGTGTTTGGCAATGTTGTGTATGGTCCATAGCTACCAATCAGAGATTTGGCATGGCTCAAGAGGTGGAGAAACCGTGGGATCGTGGGCAAGCTCTCGGCAGCTCGGAGTACATTTTTGTTTGTTGTAGACGGTATCGCGGGCGGTGTTATCGTTTGGGATCCTTGCGATGCATCTTCTCCTCGACCGCACCTCATATCTTAGGGCCTAGAAAGGTTCCGAGGATGCTCAGTAAATGCCAAGTTTTCAAAGTACGAATGCAATACCTACAGTGTCTGTCGTCCTGGGATTTACTGTATGGAACTATGGCTTGCTCGGATCAGAAAATCCTCTCCCTGCGAGTTGAGAGAGACGTGGAGGATCAAGCAGAGGCGGAAGATTTTTTTGGGGGGAAGTGAAAGGTACATTGAATGTGTTCAGGTCTGGTGCCACCTTTGCAACGGCCACGTGCAAGTAGAGGTGAGTAGAGCGCAGCGCAACACTAGCAGCAACAAGCTCTTCGCAGGTGAAAGCGCAACAGCTAGACATGTGTTGGAGCTGTGCTGTGACCTCAGTGATAAGCAGTCAACCGTGACTCGTCTCGCCTTGACCCACCCTCTACTATTCGTTACGCACGAACAGCGGGCAGATTCAACACGTGCCAACAGATGCGTTGGACTTGAAGCTACGATGCTGCGCTCAAGCGTTTGACGTTTGTTGAGGCGAATCTGTTTGATATGCTTCCCTTGGTGCGGCACGTAAAACACGACAATGCTGTGATTGCAGCTTCGACTGAAGCGAAGTTATAGGCCCTCTCGTACCGTTGATGCGGGGTGCCCTCTAGGTGTAAGGGGAGGCTCAAAGTCCTGCTCCCATGTTACCGTCTGTATGATGTGTCCAGGCGGAGTATTGCCAGGATTCGTCGCCTCGGCCCCCTCGTTCGTGGTAATCTTCGACATGATGACAATGTCTTCATAAAGTGTGCGCCCAGGGCAACATATTTCTGTAGACGTTGTTCCGTTTGCATCTGCAGGTACTAAATCAGACGGACTCAGACTTCTGCAGTAGTCGTGGCGGCTTTTCTTTCTCTTGCTATTTTCTGGGTAAAAATACGGTGGACTTTGCTGGCCACGGGCTTCTGAATCAAGGCCCAGGCGCCATAGACATTGTGTGATGAGCGGACGCAAAGTTGCCACATTGCCAGCAACAAGACCCATACCTAGTTCGACCGTGCTCCAGACAGCGATGTCAGTCGAAGTATCTAGACGCAAGCGTTAGCAGATTCGCGGGTTGACCAACATCAGGCACGACGTACAAAGGAAATCAACTCCGTCCTTGAGCGTGTCAATGTATTTCATGCGAACGATTGTGCCAGCGCTTCCGCTGTCCGTGTGTGAGCTGATGTCCAAATCTCCAAGGCGCGGAAACCTACACAGCGGCCAGGGCAAGAGTGCTAGCAACAAGCAACTTGGTCTTCATCTTCATCTGCAGGCTCCAGACGATACACATGGGTATTATTCCGAACGCCCATTCTGTCAATGCATTAATAGCAGAGATCGTGTATGTAGTACCCAAGATTGGCCCTTTTGGCAAGCATTTGTCTGACGCAGGATGATTGGTCCAAAACTCGCTGACTTGTTTGGTAAGTACAAATGACAAGAGTGCGTAGTTGGACCAACTTACCGGGCATACATTGAAACATGGCCAGGAAAAAGTGCCCGACCCCGAAGAAGAGAGCACCAGCCATGAGCACCTTGATAGCAATGATGTGCCAATCCTGGATTGCGACTCGAAGCAAGAAGAACCCGATGGCGAATTTGAAAAGGCAGTTGGTCAAAATGTACAAAAGTTCGCAGAGGAACCAGATCTACAGCCAGTTAGCTGGTAATATACTGTATGAGACCGGAGGCAGCTTACCAGAAGCGCAGTCCGTGCATCTTTGTCTGTGAGGTGCCATCGGTGTCGACCAGCGCCATACACGGCAGCGATAATCTGCAAGATGAGATATATCGTATATAATATCTATGATGCATGGTGAGAAGGGCGGTATACAGGTTGAAGGTTATAGGGCTTACTATGGTTGAAACCATGTACGAATCATCACGCCCCCATGTCTTCCTCAGGAAGCCACGGGTGTAAACTCGTAAGCCGACGGTCATCCAGGAAAGAACGAGGAACAGACAAGACACGGCCAAGATATGAGGGCTGCGGTCGACCATGATTGAACCCCAGAAGTGTCTTGAGCGTGTCGAAGTTCACTGGCTGCGCTTGGCTGGGACTGCTTCAGCAGCCATAAGGTCTGTCGTTGAAGACTGCGGACGAAATTTCGGGAACTGTGAGACCAGCACAGATGGCATTAGAAGAATCTGATATGATGAAAAGTTTGAACGTTGGGTATTAGCTTGTTATGGCAACGGGTGAGAGGAATCCGAACGGGGCCGGAGAAACGCTGGCATTACGACCCAGGCGGCTGAAAAAAAGAAAGGCCTGACAACGGTGAACCGAAGATCGTAGGCTGGGCCTTGAGTCGGACAGTTGATCAGAAGACATTCATTCGTCGAGCGGGCTGAGATGTGCGCTGATTATTCAATCCGTTAATTGTTTCCCCGTGCCCCACGCAGTTCATCGGCCCGTGATGCAGGCGGTAAGCACGACGACTAGGGCATCGATTTCTGCAAATTTCCAGGTGCCTGACGGCCAAATAAGAGCCTGAAGAGCGCTAACGGGGACACGGCTTCGCTGATCAACTTCATCAACGTGATAGCGACCGAGACTTGTTCAGCACGAGACATTTTACAGCAACTATCAACAACGTTGTGCCGATGCCAAGGCCCGACAATCGTGCATCTCGAACATCTGGGATGCGGAGTCTTTCTTGCGTCAAGCCCGAGCCATGCGATATTGCTTCATTGCCATGTCGTGAGTTACCAGTACTGGTAATCCGTGAACTGTGACGTTAAAGGGGGCGCCAAGCACGATGGAAGCCAAGGCGCGGATCATCACAGGGATCACAACTCCGTGTCCACCAGCCGAATCACCTGGCAGGTACGAGTACGGTAGAAAAAGCGACGGTCTCCTTGCACACATTTCCGCAACTCGCAGAATTCCGGGCGCGTGAATCCGAGGCTACCTGGCAACCAGAGTCCATAGGACAAGCTAGGCCTGTCGTGCTTTGACAATTCTACAGGCTTTGATGATCCAATCTTTGCTAACTTGGCCGTAGCGCAGACTCCGCTAACGGTACCGGTACCGGCAGTTACTGGAAATACAATTCCATCTTTGCAGACTCTTCAAGATACAGAGATTGGTATAAGGCGCGACCTGATTGTTAGCTGTTTGCGTCAGGACCAAGCCGCCCTGTTGCTTGAGCAGAACTACGCAGGTATGTGTGACTGACAGTTGCTCCGACTGGTCGTTTGTTTTGTCTCGGACATCTGTCTCTAGGCTGAAGACACAACACCACGGACCCTCTACGAACAAATGGAAATCCCATCAGGTTCGAATGACAGAACTGATCAAGTGGCTATGGTTGTGGCTGGTGGCTATAGGCATCATCGTGGGCAGAACCTCTGCGCTTTACTTACAACAAACAGGCCGATTTTCGCAGCCTACTGTTGACAAATTGTGATGTCCATGCTACATTGACGGAAAGCTGCATGATATTGTTGCAAAGCCATTTGTTACCATTCAGAGACAATCTTTGTTGTCTCATGCACGGTACCTGGTGTGCAGCTTATTAGCACTCGGATTTTCCTTCTTTCCCATCTTCGCTATCTCCACTACGACAAGTCCTATCCTGTTATAACACATATTTTCAGGGATTTTTTGATCGGCTCTTACTCTTTGCACTCGTGGCTACAGGAAACCATCCATCAACGTTACCATGACTAACCCGCATCAGCCTGCATGTGCCATACCCCAAGAACTGCGTTACTACATGCTGCGAGGCAACGATGTCATGGTCCCAATGGTGCCTGTGGATCAGCTGCCATTTCGCCTACCTGGAGTTCCTCGCCAATTGACACATCAGCAGATGTCGAGCGAGCGTTGGAAGTATCTGCCTGAGCCAACCAGCGCTTCTTCCAATGGCTCTGCCCAAGCCCCTTCTATACCTACTTCTTCCCCATCTACTACGTGGGCGAAACCTCAGTTCCGTGCTCCTGATCATCAAGTCCGCAATGATCATTTAATGGTGGATGAGCCGGTCGCCCGCCCCAACCGGTGGTCTCATTCACCCACAGTGCCCATCGACATCCCATCTACGCATCGCACAACCTCCACTGCCACTCCGGAGAAGACATTGTCCTTGACTGACAAATTCGCAGAGCTCTACCCACTCGAAGCTCAGCGTTGCGGTTACCAGGTGCGCAATCCTTCAGGCATCGAGCCAGATTCATCGAAGAAAGAGTTTTGCACGCACTGGATTCGGACAGGCGAGTGCGACTTCACTGTCGTGGGCTGCAAGTACAAGCACGAGATGCCCGATCTGCCCAAACTCAAGGAGCTGGGCTTCACCCAAGGCTATCCTAGGTGGTGGAAGGAGAAACTCGCGGTTGTAGCTCGCGGTCCCACCTGGATTGAACAACGCCGGGCGGCTCAGAACAAGGACGAGGACGTGGATGCCAACCACGTACCAGCTCGTCGCGTCTTCGATCCATCCATCTTCAAGCGGAGGTCTGAACTGGAGCGCGAGAAGGCGCCAGCCGACGACGTCCGGCCAAAGCGTAGCTTACTCAGGCGCGAGACAGTCTCCGAGCGAGCAGTACAAGCCATTCCACCCATCCCACTAAGCCACATTATTCAACCAGCAAGCCCAACAATAGACCTCCTCATCGACCTTGACGATAACCCAGCTCCCCCGCCGAGTCCCCAACTCTCCACCGTATCCTCAACCAGCGTACTCTCCACCAGCACAACCACCTCCACCAGCACCACCAGCACCACCGCATCCGCCCCTCCACCCCACCCTATCAAACCCATCACCATCCCCGTAACATCCACCAAGCCCCCCAGGAACTCCCTCAAACCAAAACTAGAGCACAAATCACCGCTCCGTAATCCCCCATCCCGCCGCAACTCATACACATCCCGCTCCTCCTCCTTCTCCACTACCTCCTCCTCCTCC